CCCTGCTCTGGTGACACTATTATTCTCTCATCTATCCTTATCTCAACTATGGTATTTGTGCTTGGGGCTCTACTACCCAAAATCATTTACGCCCTCTAATTACTCAACACAAAGCTGCTATTAGGACAATATCTCACTCTGGCCCCAGACATCACTCGGTACCCTTACTCAAATCTTTGAATGTTTGAATGCTGGGATATTAAGTCCCTGCAAATCCTCTCATGTGTATTTTATATATATATGAAACGCTGAACTGTAAAGTCAATCCAGACCTTAAAAGCTTCCTAGAAGGTTGTAACAGATCTCATGCACACCACACCAGAAACAAATACCTATTTGATATTCCAAGAGTACGACTTACTCAAATTAGAAATGCTTTACAAATCAAGGGACCTCGAATGTGGAATGACCTTCCCAATTATGTTAAAGACTGTACCTCTCCCAACCAGTTTAAGATAAAAACTAAGTACTACCTAATTAACTCTATGTAACCTACCTCACCCCCAAAATGTCAACCCATGTCTTCTATTTTAAACAATGCTGTTTGTTGACCAAATTGTAATTTTGTTTTTTTTTCTGCCATGTTTCCCCCCCCCTTTTTTTTCCATTTTTTTCTTATTTTTTCTCAACACAATTTATACTTTAATCTCAATTAGTATTAAGTTTTAGTCTTAAGTGTTTTTCCTGCCCGAAACGCTTTGTGTAATAGTGGCTTTTGGTATTGTATGTACTAGCTCTATCTATAAATCCATCAACTTTTGTATCTTACCTTGTATGTACTTTACCTGAATAAAAATTTGTATTTGTATTTGTGTGTATATTATATAGACCTATACAGACCTATATCAATCCTGCCAAACTTGTCAAAAATATTCGAAAAGCTAATCTACAAGCAGCTTTACTCTTTTCTAGCCAAACACAATATACTTAGCTCTTGTCAATATGGCTTCAGACCCAAAAAAAGCACTAACGATGCACTTATTAGTATGATTAACTTAATTCACGCAGCTCTTGATAAAAAGGAGTTTCCTGATGGGTTATTTGTGGACCTCCGTAAGGCTTTTGACACTGTCAACCATCAAAACCTTCTTCTTAAATTACATCATTATGGAGTCAGAGGACACTCCCTGCAATACCTCAAATCTTATCTTACTGACAGGCTCCAGTATGTTTCTGTGAATAATACAATTTCTCCCACCCTACCCATCAACATTGGTGTTCCTCAGGGCAGCATACTTGGCCCTCTCCTCTTTCTCATCTACATTAACGACCTTCCAAATGCCTCCCAACACCTCAAACCAATTCTATTTGCTGACGACACAACCTTCATTTACTCCAGTCCTGAACCCCTTGCTCTAAATGCCACAGTAAATACTGAGCTAAATAAAGTCCATCTTTGGCTAACTGCCAACAAACTCACCCTTAACATTGACAAAACCTTCTATATTCTGTTTGGCAATAAATCCTCTAATCAGATAAATCTCAAAATAAACAATACCCAAATTTGTAACAAATTAGATGGCAAATTCCTTGGCGTTCTCATTGACCACAAGCTGAATTTCCAGGGTCACATTCTAAATATATCAAAAAAAGTTTCAAAAACTGTTGGCATTCTTTCTAAGATCAGATATTATGTACCCCGCCCTGCCCTGGTTACTCTCTATTACTCCCTCATCTATCCATACCTCAACTATGGTATTTGTGCTTGGGGTTCTACTACCCAAAATCATTTACGTCCTCTTATTACCCAACACAAAGCTGCTATTAGGACAATATCCAACTCTGGCCCCAGACATCACTCGGTACCCTTTCTCAAATCTCTGAATATGTTAGATATTAAGTCACTGCACATTCTCTCTTGTGTATTATACATATATAAAACGCTGAACTGTAATGCTAATCCTGACCTCAAAGCTTCATTGAAGGTTGTAACAGAACCCATGAGCACCACACCAGGAATAATACAGTTTGATATTCCTAGAGTACGACTTAATCAAACTAGAAATGCTCTACAAATCAAGGGACTCAGAATGTGGAATGACCTTCCCAACCATGTTAAAGACTGTACCTCTCTCAACCAGTTTAAGATAAAAACCAAACACTACCTAATAAATTCCCTGTAACCCACCTCACTCCTTTATTGTCAACCCATGTCTGTTATTTTATTTTATTATTATTATTTTTTTTTTTAATCAACACTGTTTGTCAACCTATTGTATTTGTGCTGCTTTTTCAGTCATGTTCCCCCTTTTTTTTATCTTTATTTGTATTTGTTTTCAACACTTTTTATTCTTTATGCTCAATTAGTATTAAGTTCTAGATATTAATGTTTTTCTTGCCCGAAACGCATTGCGTAATAGTGGCTTTAGGCATTGTATGTACTAGCTCTATCTATATATCAATCCATTAATGTAACATCACTTGTATGTATGTACCTTACCTGAATAAACATATTTATTTATTTATTTATTTATATATATATTGTTACGATAATCTCCTT